ATGAGCAGCGGCTTTTCCCATGTATGAGTTTTTGCAGGTTTTGGGCCTCTGTATGCAACTGAAAAAAGTTAGGAATTAAATATTGCAAGATGATCGTAGTTATCTGCCCAGCTATCTCACTTTACTGTATAGAGCAAATACAATAAGGAGGTACTTCAAAGTTGTGAGAGTGTACTAACTGAATTCCTCAATCCTATCAAATTGTGATTGTTATGGTTGTTATGGATGTTTGATCTGATGAATTTATAGAACTCAGCTTGTCTTGTGCTTTATTAATATGCATAGCCTTTAAAATAATACAGTATTTTTAAGGGAAAAATGTTGATTTGCTGATGCATTATTTTCAGACTCATTTCCTAGTAATTGACAGCCAACCAGCAATCTGCTTCAGTTTGCATACATTCTGTTTGTTATGATTAAAAATAGAAAAGATGCAACATGGACATTCATTTTGAAGATGAATCATCTATACATAAGACTGTTCTTTCCATAAATGAATGTGTATGCCAAGAGATTTTTTTTTTTTTAAATGCTAATCATAAAGTAATTTTGAAGGTTTTTGTTGCTTTAAATTGTTGCATCATCCTGGTGTGGGGAAGTAATCAGGAAAGATGACTTTTCTTTGCACTCAAAATTCCGTTTGACCTGTAGGAAAAGTCTTTCAGAGAAATGCATAATTACTATATAACATCAACTGTTAACTGTTGTATGATGATTCTTGTAGATAACTGCATTTTTATGTTAAAATACTGAGCAGTTTAACCACCTATGTTGTGTTGGTATAATTAATATTTTGAAACATGGTTTTCTTTCTCTTTCAGCTTTACATCTTCCAATCCAGCCTTACAACATGGGTAAAATCAAGTTCTTCAAACTGTGAAACAATCTACAGTAAACATTTTGGTGTTAATAGTCCAGGATATCAGAACCTCTTCAATCACAGGACTGTTACAGCTGTGCAAGAAGACATCCTTAATCTTACAAGCCATGCCACAATCTTCCTTGATCCCCTCCTTTTTAATTCTGAGCGTTACCTTTCTTCACTGTTATCAAACTGTATCTCCTCTAACATATACCTGTTTGAAGATTAACATCTGAAGCGTGGATAAAGATTATAAAAAAGTCCTACTGAAAATCAAATCATTTCTGTTTCTAATTCCCAAATAGGGTCCTTTGCTCTTTCTTCTCCTTCCACCCATCTCATCATTTAAGAAATAATTTTGTAGTTACCAGAGTTGAATTTTTTATTTTTTTTAATTAAAAATGGGTGGGGGGAGGACTAGCAGCAACAATCCAAAAAACGTTAAATGACCAACAAATATTATGCCAGATAATAGAGATCTATAATTTACCATTAATACAGCATCACTGGTAAAAATCATGAAAATTTTAGGTAGGCAAAGCGCAAATATTTTTACTACCATTTTTTTTTCTTTGAATTAAGTATAAGATGTGCCATCTTGGCTCAGAGCAGTGGCCATCTAGCTGTGTATCCTGTCTCTGGCAGTGGCAGAAGTGAATGCTTTAGAGGAGCGCATGTGAACAGGATATATCTAGAGTGGTTTAGTCCCTGCTCTTTATCCTCCCTGGCATCCACCATCATTGGTTAGAGATTAAAGATTAGACAAGACAGTTGTAACTACACATCTGATATCTGTCTACATTACCATTTCCATTTATTGCTACTATTGATGAAAAACTTCACTGGGGTCACGGTACTTCCTGTTGTAGGCTCAACTTAGTAGTCTTGTTTTATTGCAAACGTAAATGAAGTAAAAGCTGGGCCTATTAACAAAAGTTACCGTTGTGGAATTCATAGTTCATCCAAGGCCATTTAGAGTGAAATCATGTTTGCTACAGGTGTGGGGCATCTATTTTAAGATATATTCATCCTTAGCTAAGTATTCTGTATGCTCTGCATGTGGATAAAATTCATTATAGCCATATTTAAAATTTAAGAAACTAGAGCTAGAAGCATGATTTTCCTGCAAAAATCACATACCTGGAATATTGGATCATAGACAGTCTATTTATCTTGGAAAAACTACTTAACTGCTTTGCTGTGCTTCCTGGTTGTAAACTATCCTGGTTAGAATCACTTGAAACCTCAAATGTTCCATATAGATTTCAGGTTGTTCAAGTCGTTTTTCTGGTATCATTCTGTAGAAAAGTCTCTGATTAGCAGCTTCCTCAGTATTCATGGGTCTGACAACAGGTATCGTCAATCTTCCACCCAGCTTTACTGCCAGTGTTTCAGGATTTGAGGATAAATTGGCATTTAGAGCCTGGCTCTGCAGAGCAGTGAGATTTAGCTCCAGAGTTGAGATGCTTAGCACCATGCACATTTGAGCACTTCCCATTTCTCATAGGAAGGGAGCGATGTTGATCATGCAGGAAGTCAGTACTATCCAAATATGAAGAGTTTCTCTGTCTACTCTTGATCAGCTTAATCTGTACCCTTTTAAAAAGTCGTTCAAATGCCTGGTTGGTTTTTATCCTCCTTTTTTCTTTCTCCCCCTACCAGGAAACTTAGCAGCCATTTAGTTGGCTCCCATTAATGAATATCATGATGCATCAAAAATGGGTGTAAAAATAGCCTTTGTTTTAAGTATGCAGAAGATTAAAAATGTGGCTGTTTGCTTTGCATTTCAGCTGTAATAGAAATTTTATGTTTCTGTTTGTATGTTAATAAAAGGGGTTTTACTATCCAGTTTAATTCAGTTCTGCTGTCCCAAAACATGATCACTATTACTGTGCCAGGAGAGCAGTTGTAAATAGAACTACCACCTGTAGATCATTACAATTATGAAACAGGTATTTGTACTTTATACTTCTAGCAGGTGCTTGCCCCATTATCTTGAGTTCATGATACTTATTTTCAGGGTATTACATACCATTCAATCTCTCTTTTGTCTTGATGCATTCATGAAGATTTTGGTGGAATTGAAAAGTTAATACTCCCATACCTGACTAGCCTTCTCTTCATCTGTCTATTTTGCTGGACTAGATCTGTGAAAAGAACCATTTAAGAAAAGTTGAAAAGAGTTTGTAGCTTTATCAGTGAAACTGCACGTACAAATTTCATTTGTCAGTATGAATAAAAGACAAAAAAGTGTTTGTTAACTCATGAACAAATCCATTAAAACTGAACAGATTTCTGATGCAATTGATTGGATTGCTTGAGATAGGAAAGTAATCATATGTCAAAGTTTCTCTGAGAGAAATGGGCCAGTCAGAAGTGACTTTTCTCTGAAGTTACTGGATATGATTCTACACCAGTTTCACATGGGCTTTGATGGAGTTTAGTTTTATGTTGGTACAATTTTATGTAGAAAGTAAACATATCTATTGAGTGGCTTCTCCTGGGTCTCAGGCTTCCAGTGCTAGGCAAAGCATACTGTATGTATTTTGTCCTTTTGAGGTTCCTGTAGTTTTTTGCATTAACGGCTCAGAGCCCTCTGGAATGTTTATCTTCAGTTTTCCTAGCGAGTGAGGAAAATATACATTGTCCAAATAATAAGCATGCTATGATAGAAATATTTGGGCAAATAGGTAAGTTGCAGTATAGTTTTGGCAACACAATTGTAAGAGGAAGGCAGGTAGGCAAGTCAAGAATCTGGTCCTTTAGGATCTCACAAAAGGGATCTACAGGATTCTAGTCCTGCATCTATCTTATTAGATCAAATTGGGGTTTGCAAATGAATATATTTAAATTGTTTCTGTGGTACTTGACAAAAATGTTTGAGCTTGTGATCAAAATTGCATTGTTCTACTTTTAAATTGTTTTTTTTTCTTCTGTATAGTTAATTTAATAAGTATGAATCCACTAATCAAGGTCCTCAGCATTAGCCAGTCTAGCTGTTCTGAGGATTTTTTTTGCAAGCACTCTTTCATTCGACAAAATTTAGTCTCGTATTTGTTTGCCAGAGTTTTTAAAAATGAGAAAATTCTAAGAAGGGGAAGAAGATAGCATAAGCAAGGTAATGTACAAATTCTGAAATTCCATCTCAGTTGAATGCAGGTTTTCAAGTAGTCATTCTGTCTTTTGTCTTAAGGCAATAGATTATGAAAAAGAACGTACCACTGAAAAATTCTGTGTCCAGAAGAATGTATGTATGTTACTAATTCTCCGTAGCCTAAGGAAAAACTGCTTCTGATATTCTTCAAAAATGGTTCAGTAAAGAATTGAACCTAATGAGTAGAGAATAGAAGAAATTAACAGTTCACAACAGTAAAATAATATGCAAAATCACTATTTTGTTAAGGCCCATAGTCCTTCCCAACATTCCAGAATGGATATTGTTAGATTTAACTCAAATTACTTTCAGTACAGAATGCTGAAAGCAGCTCTATGAAAGGAACAATGTAGATGGTATAAGCAGTTTAAGGATTGAAAAGTGTTCTCTAATCTTAACTGATTTTTTTTCGACGACAAAGTATAACCTTTAGTAATATGGAGGGAGTAAATACCACGTAGGCTAAATCATCCAGACACCGCAATGTAAAGCAACATTCCTGCCCTTTTACAGTTACAACAGAAAAGAGCAGTTTGTTAACTTTTCAGTGAAGTAATAGCCATGTGCTCTAGCTACTTTGAGATGAAATTCTTTTACATTTATAATGGCTTCAGATATGTATCATGAAACAACATATCTTTCAAATTTTGCATTCACCAGTCTTGAGAGCTTTCTTTTACTTTTCTGCGTTTTTCTCTAACCTGCATTAAATTGCAGTGTAGTTGGTATAGAAGTATAGAAATTCACACTGAGGTTCTGATATCCTCTTGGGGTTTTGTGGGCTGAATTGATTTGCACATTGATGATTCTTACCATGTCGTAAGGCTGGAGTAATGGATGTAAAGCTTCAAAGAAAATCATTTGCCAGGTAAGAACAAACAATGTATTTAAGAATTTAAAATAAGTTGGCCATGTTATGTTGAATTTGATGTAAGTTCTGTTGAAGATTATACATTGATTTTACTTTTTTTATTTTGTTTTCAGGTTCATGGTAGGCTGTGGTAGGTGTGATGATTGGTTTCATGGTGATTGTGTTGGGTTGAGTCTTTCCCAAGCGCAACAAATGGGAGATGAAGATAAAGAATATGTGTGTATTAAATGTTGTGCTGAAGAAGACAAAAAACATGATTCTTTTGATCAAAATATGATGGACAGTCAAATGAAATTTGAAACTGCAAGAGAAGATAGAATGATAGAATCTGAGAAGCCTGGGATGTCAAAGCAAACCTTTCCTTGTAATCCAACTTCAGCAAATGAAAAATCTAAGCAGATGGATGACACAGTGAAGCACAAAGTCAAAATTTTTAGACGGGTATGGGTTACTTAAGAATTGTTAAGCCTCTTTTAATTAATTTTTCATTATTTGAAATGTTATTATGTATACTAATGTTTACATTTCAAATACAAAATATTTTGAGGTAAGTATTATAAAAATGCCGTCTCTTACCGTATAACATACATGCATGCACATGCTTAAAAAAACCGCACAAACTATCTACAGACCCAGAAAACCTTAAATGAAAACGTAACAAGCGTCTTTATAAATGTGGTTGTATAAGTTTTACCACATCTTTTAGATTTATCCAGAATAATCATTATTTACCTTATCAGCTTTTAGATGAAGAACCAGCTACCTTATTACAAGAGGAAAAAGTTGCAGCCTAGTACTGTTTTTTGCAGCTGTTTTATTTTTGTGTTCTTCATATGCTCAAGTTTTCATCTTTTTTTTTTATCCACAAACTATGTAAACAGTCTGACTTCATTCAATGAGTAGAAGAATTTAAAAGATTCTTTAAGTTGTTTGGACCTTTATTGGTTAACACTCTGACCCTTTTGAGCAGGGTAGGGAGAGCATAGGGATATACTTGAAATCAGTGGGAGTCTCTTGATTTTGACAGGACTAAATACCAGGGCTGTGTAAAGCTTCGGTCGCTGATTAGATTCAGTGGAGATTCGGCAATCGAATCTGAATTGAATCAGGAGATCCCTTAATCTCTCTGAATCAAATTGGAACCCTTCGAATCGATTTGGAGAGCTTTGATGATTTGGATGTAGACACAGCTTTAAATGTTTTTTTCCACATACCTCAAGGTGTACTAGGCAGCTCATGTATGCTGAGACAACAGGGCAGATGGAGCATCCCACAGGAACGTGGGTCCCCAGTGCGCTCAGCGGCAGACCAGGAAGTGGGCCAGATTTTGGTCCACTTCTGGGTCTGCCGTGTAGTGCACAGGAGTCCCTCCCCCCCTGCTCGGTAACTGGTGTCTCCTGGGTCTGGGGGGCAACTAGGGTCCTCCTGCAGCCAATTGCTGAGCCAGACCGGGGAGGGGGTGTTCCACCCCGTGCTTGGCAGCGGACCTGGAAGTGGACCAGAAGTACTTCTGGTCCACTTCCAGGTCCGCTGCCAAGCACTCAGGAAGCTCCCCCATGCTTCCCTGGGACACTACATCTGCCCCAATATCTCAGCATTCGCAAACCATGCCTGGTACCGCGAAGTATGTAGAAAAAACATTTAAAGCTGCGTCTATCGCCGAATCACTGATTCTCCGAATTGGCATAGAATCTTCGGATTCGGCCAAATCGAATCAGGACAGTGATCTGAATCAATCGAATCACTGTCCCCTGAATTGGGCCAAATCCAAATCGAATTCGGCCCGTTTTGCACACTCCTACTAAATATCCACATTTTAAAATTAATTGTTGAATAGTGTTTGATAGTGAATTATGACATCTTTTCAGTTACTTTGTAATGGCGTGTTTTATGTCATCTGAATTCTAGACCTGCATTATTTGATATTTTTGTTTTTAAAATAAGTTTTGGGAAAGTTTGCAGCAGTTGTGTGGTTCATTGTCACATTTGTTAACCAGGTTAATATGTTTTTGTTTCAGGAATCTGGAGATGGGAAGAGTACACCAGAATACAGAGATTCTGATGTTAAAAAAGGGCAACAAACTACTGTTCGTAAAGTAGCGCAGACTGTTATGCTTCCTCGTCGATCCTCTGAAGAAAAAAATGAAAAAATAAACAAAGATTCTCCTAGTGCTTCTTCCTCAAGTGAAAAGTCCACAAAGACAGGTAATAAGACTTTGAGAAATGCTTCAAAGAGCAGTTAGGAATTGTGTGCATTTATAGTGAGCCAGGAAAGTTGTTTTTAAGCATTTCTCAAGTGGTCCGTGGTTCACAGAGAACTGGTTGTTCACTTGGTGCTGCATCATTTGTTTTATTATCCTTTTAATGTTGCTTAGCAGGCAGTGATGTGTGAGAAATTTTCCTAATATTTTCACACAAACAATTATTGTAGATACAGATACTGTATAAAGGTTTTGTGGTTATGAATAGAACAGGTAGTTTTCAAAAGAATGGGAAAAGTAGACACAAAAGCAGTCTCTTTATTATGTTATCGCCCATATGAGTCAAAGGTTTGAGACTGCTCTGTACAGTTCTACAATATAACATAAGCTATTCATATGTGTTTAGTGATAGCTGTAGGAAATCTTTTGCCCTGTAACTTTTGCCCTTCTCTAATTCTGTGCACCTAAAATCTTAACTGACCCTACTTACAAATGTTTTTTCTACTTTGAGTGATCATCCATGTACACGCCTATGACTAACAGTGTCTCGTGCCCTGAGTCTTTGCCAAGAAGGCATCTTAAGCTTCACAAACAAACATTTTTCTGGATTCTAACTGGCTGTCCACCAGACCTGGGCCTCAAAGCAGGGTTTTTGACAGTATGATCAAGAGCTGTGAGCTGTAGTTGTCACTTTTTTTTGGTACTGTATAGCCTGTTTTTGCCCAGACTTCTTGGTACTGGACATGAAGACAGTCCATTTCCCTGCTTTCAGCCAAAGTCCTCTTCCTCCTCCCTTTTTTCAGGGATCCTCTTCACAAGAACTTGTTTTGAGAAGTGGTCAAGTTTCTGCTGGCTGTGAGAACTATAGAGAAAGTTCCTTAGAACTTCCTTCTCCACAGCTTCGACAGCAACAATTTTCCAAAGCAGAAAGTGGGGTTAGAATCCCATTGTGGACTTTAGAAAATAACATATGCATTTTCAAGCTCAAATTCAAGATGGGGACCCAGCAGTCATTTAATTATCACTCTGCTGGGGAACTGGCTCCTGTCTGTCAGGATGCAGATTACTTATGTAGGATTAAACATAGAAATAAGGTTTGCTTACAGTGCTACCTATGTTTTACTATACAGAGGAACCACTCTCTTTTGGTCCCAAGGATATTCACCAGTGTCTTACTGGTGGTGCTGTTCACCTGAGAAAGATAGGAGTCATAGCTTACTTCTATCTGGAACGAATACCCAAAAGTCAGGAGGGGGCCTTACTGCTTTTTTACTGCTTGATGGTCATAATGTTTTCATACCTTCACAGAATTAGTGCTTATTTTAAATATATCAAGTTATTATTTTAAAGATCTAAAAAACTTGCTGTTCATCATGCAGTTAGTGTTCAGAGAGATAAGATCTAAATTTTGTTTAAAAAAAAGAAAAATCCTCTTTTCCTCAATTTTTATTTATTTTTGTTAATAAAATTGTTAAGAATTAAGTCTTAAAAAATAAAATTGATTTTTCTTGTTCCAGATCACCCTTTTTGTTTGTTTGCTTGTTTGTTTGTATTAAAATTGCGTACCTTAAAAAATTCAAATTCAGGCTATTGTAAAAACATCTTTTAAACTTGTATTCTTCCATATGTTTTGTTTTAGGTGTTCATGAGAAACAAGAAGTCAAGAAAAAGAAAACTGAGAAAGGGGGGCTGTCTAGTAATACAAATGTACCATCTGTGCCAGCTTCCAAACCTTCTGCTGATCAGATACGACAAAGTGTCAGACAGTCTCTGAAAGAAATTCTGATGAAAAGGTATACATGTGTTACTAAATGAACCACATAGTTTTGTTGTTACATGTATGTGTGTGCTTGTGTGTGTGTAAATATTTACTTAAACATATTCAATACATTTTTCAGACTTTCAGACTCTAGTTTGAAGATTACTGAGGAAAGAGCAGCAAAAGTTGCCATAAGGATTGAAAAGGAACTGTTTTCCTTTTTTCGGGATACTGACTCTAAGTATAAGAACAAATACAGAAGTTTGATGTTCAACCTAAAAGATCCTAAAAATAACGTATGTGCTCTTCATCTGTAGTTTTTTATATGTAAAAGACTTTACTGTAGCTAGTTAGTAATTGGTCATAGAAATGGAGGGGTATATATTTGTGTGTGTGTATTTTCTATATAATAATTCTTATTTTTTCTTATGCAGCTTGGCCTCTACTTTCTTTTCTTTTTTCTTATTCTTTCAAAACTATTTTATTCTTTCCTTTACCACCTAACCTGATTTTCATACCTGTTTTCCTTTTATAGCTATCACATTTGTCTCCAGTGCCATTTCTCTCTGTTCCTTGTCCTCATTACCTTCTTTGTGTTGTCCAGCCTCCTGCGGTCTGCTTCTCTTCTTTCACTGTTTTTCTTTACTACCAGTCATTGCTTTTTCCCTTCAGTTCAACCTTTCACCTTTCTTAGATTTGGTTTTCTCGAAGAGCTTGCCCTGTCATTTCACCCTTACTTCATTAATTTCTGAATGATCAGTCCTCTGATAGGCCACTGTAAGAGTGATATAACTTCTTTTTGTGGTGGCACTCCATCAGGCTTGCATTCGTGCAGCCCACCACTTTACCAGCATATTCATGGTCCTCAAGTTTAGCTTTTTAATTTACTCATACCTAAAACTTCATCCTTCCCTCTGAACAGAATTTCTCGTTTTCAAGCCTCCCCTGTAGTGGTACCTACTTTTGGGGGGAAATAAATCACTGAAAGTTCTGTGCTAGTGATTTGGGTAGTTATGATTATAATATGAGGTTACTGTCTGGTTGGTTGTACAGTAAACCTAATTGTTTCCTCTGAAGTAGAAATAAGCTGGTGTCTCCTGCCCATTTCAGGCTACTGTCTTAGAAGCTGACATGTCTAACTATTTTTTTTATTTTTAGTTAAATTGATATGAAAGCAGAATATACTTTTCTATCCAGCCACCTTCCACTGAGGACTGTAGAGATTTTGCTATATTCTTACTTTTTTAGAGATTTTAAATATACCAGAATCTGTGCTGAATTGACCATTAGCTCATTTTCTCCTTAAATGTTAAATGTGAATTATTTTCAGTTACATTATTTAGAATGACTTAATTCAGTTTTTCTCCTGTTCTTTTTGAGTTTTCTCTAGTTATGGTTTTTGAGGTATGGAATTGCTGTAAAATAATTTGTATACCCAGTTTGTGTGTTTATATTTATGTGCACACATTTAAAAATAGTTTTTAATATCTGCACAATACAGGTTTTATGTGGAGAATGTATTCTCAAAGAGTGTTTCATAATTCTAGTTGCCTTAGTTCACTAATTATTGGATTGTTATTAGGAACTAATTTTGTTTTTAAGCAGTAGTTGACCTTTTTCACAGATATTATTTAAGAGAGTACTGAAAGGAGAGGTTACCCCTGATCACCTCATAAGAATGAGCCCAGAAGAACTGGCTTCTAAAGAACTAGCTGCTTGGAGACAAAGAGAAAACAGACACGTAAGACTTTTCATCTCTGATTATTTAGTGAGAAGCATAATGATCTTTGAAATTTCATTTTGTTTTAAATGTATTTATACATTTTGGGAAAGTCGGAATGTTCATGTGACAAAAATTGAACAAGTAAGTCTTGATTGGCTTTGGAAATCCTTCTGCCAGGACCTGACAGGGACCAAAGAGGGATCTGTAATGACTAGTACATTCAAAAGTATATTTGATAAGAGGAGGAGCAGCTGGATTCTGGGATCAGGACAAGATATTTTTTGGCAAGAACTAATTAAAATAGGTGAAACTTTTATTTTTATTATTTATTTATTTTAGTCTTCTAGCAAGCTGCTCCTGGTGTTCCCACAAGGCTTAGTCCTACCTTGTGAGAAATACAGATGTGTTTGGAAAAAAAGATGAATTGGTGACTAGTATTTACTGAGTTGTGTTAATGAACTAAGAGGCCAGTTCCCTTCTACATTTGCCTTTAGCCCCTCCCCTTCTGCTATGTCCCAGCACTGATGTCTCCCTCCCCTTTTTTACTTTCAAAAAGCATGACACTGAAGTCTCCAGAACTCTTCCATGTTTTTTAAAAACTAATGTGAGATCCTGGTGTCTGGGATGTTTGGTTGATACCTGACAGTTATCAGAGCAGTGTATAGTTAAAAAGTGTAAAGTAGGAGCTGAAAATGTGCTTTGTAGTCTAAGAAAATTATCTGAGATAAAAACAATTTTTCAAGAAAAATACAGGAGACTTCCTGGAATATTTAATTAAACATTTATTAATCTTAAAATAGAGACCCTACTTAACCTTTCTGCATCTTACATGTTGTATTCAGAATTTGAACGAGCAAGTGAGACAGCCATATTTTGTATGGAAGATATCTTTTTGTTTTTGTAATTTCTGAACTATGAGTTTGAGACTGTTCTCAAACTTTGTCCAATGTATACCAACCTGAACATTTACTTAGATAAAAATTCTGCCAAGTACTTTTTGACAGTTTGTAGTTGTTGTGAAAAGGTAGCTTAGAGAAATGAACAGTTAGATTTCAATGCAATGTAATGCTCACTGAAAATATAAATCATCATCAAGTTTCAGCATTAAATATTATCTTTCAAATGCTTTTCCATTCTCATTGTGTGTTTGCCAAGATCAAACGGGTTACAATGACCAAAGGAGTTGTGTTCCTCATATGATAGTACTGGAGCTGCATCTGATGGGTGTCAGAAGTGCCTGTATTGCCTACCAATGTCTTACGTTTCTACGAAATACTTTATTTACAAATCTTTTGTCTCCTAGTAAAAAGTGTGACAAACTCCAAATGTGTCTCCAGGAGACTGATTTCTGATCCTGGAATTCTGAATTCCATTGGCTGCTGAGCCTTTCTTGTTTGTAGCCTCCAGTCCTGGAGAAGGCCTTGGTAGAGCACAGAACTAGGGCTGATTCATGTGGTGGAGGTTTCCATCTTGAGTTCAGTGAAAAGGCACACTTCCTCATCTCTTTGACCTTCTGAGGTTCACAGCCTAGTGTATGCCATGAAAGCTCAGCAGTGTCTTGATACCAAGGCCCTGGGACTGGCGTCCATGGAGATTGCTCTACTAGTGCACAGAACAGGAACCAAGAACCTGAGACACTTCTCGGCTTCTTTTCCATTCCTCCAGTACAACTTTGGTTCCAGCACTTCCATGCATATGTGGGGAGCCATAACCTCCTTTGGTCATTCTCACCTGTTTGAGAGATTCGGTGTTCACCCAAGATCTGACACTTTTCAGTGTACCTTGTGAGTTGACAGTGTACATATAACTGCCTCCAGTACTTTCCTTGCCTCCTCGGAGGTTGTATTCATATTTGTTTGACTTGTACCCATTGATTCCATTCAGAGCTGTGTCCCTGGCTCCTAGTCCATTGATAACGCCTGTGGCGATGGATGGCAATACTCTTCCTTTAATCCTAAAAGGTGGTACCTTCTTGCTTGGGCCTTACCAGAGTTTTCCTCAAATGAGGCACTGTGCTGAGGCCTTTTTCAGTAGTCCCAGGGATCTTTTGTGTCACTCCTGATTTGTTTTTTCTGGCCTTGGGCCTCTCAGCCACCACCTAACTTTAGGAACAAATCTTATTGCCTAACCTCTTACTTTTTCTGCCTCCTACTTCACCCTCTTTCCCAAGTCAACCCACTTTTTTCCCTTCGGCTGACTGCCGGCATCTGTTCCAGGATAAGAGATCTAGTCGAGATTAACAGCTTTTCCTTTTCCTTTCCAGATGAGACTGTTCATCCCCTGCCACCTTGGGGCATTTTCAAAAGAGAAAGCAGGTTTTGACTGAGGTCTCCTTTTCTAAGTACCCTTTGGTGACCTGACTTCTCATAGATTTCATAGACGTTAGGGCTGGAAGGGATCTCGAAGATCATCAAGTCCAGCCCCCTGCCCCAGGGGCAGGAAGTCAGATAGGGTCAAAGGATCCCAGCAAGATAAGCATCCAAGCATTTCTTGAATGAGTCCACAGTAGGTGCTTGCACCACTTCTGGAGGAAGTCTATTCCAGGTCTTGGGGGCTTGAACAGTAAAGACATTTTTTGTTATGTTCAGTCTAAAACAGTCTTGAAGGAATTTATGATCATTGGTCCTTGTTTTTCCTTGGGGTGCTCTGGTGAACAGGCATTCTCCCAGATCCTGATGTACACCTCTTATGTACTTATAAGCAGCAACCAGGTTCCCCCTGAGCCTGTGCTTTTTCCAGGCTGAAGAGTCCCACGGCTCTCAGCCTCTCTTCATAAGGCCTATTCTCTTGCCCTCTGATCACGCATGTGGCTCTCCTCTTGACTCTCTGAAGCTTCTCGACATTCTTCTTGAATTGTGGAGCCCAAAATTGGATGCAGTACTCCAGCTGCGGCCTCACCAAGGCTGAGTACAGCGGGAGGATGACATCCTGAGATTTACTTGCGAAGCATCTATGGATGCAAGCCAGAATTCTGTTTGCTTTACCAGCTGCAACATCGCATTGGTGGCTCATGTTCAACTTGTGGTCAATCATGACCCCCAAGTCTTTTTCAGCTGTGGTGCTAGCCAGTGTAGCACTGCCGAGCCTATAAGTATGCTGCGGGTTTTTTTTTCCCGAGGTGGAGTACCTTACATTTATCGGGGTTGAACATCATCAGGTTTGTATCCGCCCACTTACTAAGTTTATCCAAGTCAGCCTGGATCACTAGCCTGTCCTCAGGTGTGGACGCTGAGGCCCAAAGTTTAGTGTCATCGGTGAACTTAGCCAGCGTGCTTCTGACACCAATGTTCATATCGTTGATAAAGATATTAAAGAGAACTGGTCCAAGGACGGAGCTTCGGGGGACACCAGTGGTCATAAAACGCCATAATGATTCGCTACCATCGACCACTACGCTCTGGGTCTGGCCTCGGAGCCAATTTCCCAGCCATTGGACTGTGGTGTAGCCGAGGCCACAGTTGGCCATTTTTTCCGTGAGGAGATTGTGAGACACCAGATCAAAGGCTCTTTTAAAGTCCAGATATATGACATCAATCTCTTCTCCCTTGTCCAGGTGATATGTCACCTGGTCATAGAAGGAGATGAGATTGGTCAGGCAAGACCTACCCGCGACAAACCCGTGCTGGCTATCCCTCAGGATGTTGCCCTCAGCCAGTTTATCCAGAAGGGTCTCCTTGATAATTTTCTCCAGAATCTTCCCAGGGATTGAGGTCAAGCTGATTGGTCTGTAATTCCCGCGATCTACTTTCTACCTTTCTTGAAGATGGGTACCACATTGGCCTTCTTCCAGTCTTCAGGTACTTAACTTGAGCGCCACGAGTTTTCAAATATTTTTGCCAATAGTTGGGTTATGACCCCTGCCAGCTCCTTGAGTACTCTAGGATGTAATCTGTCAGGACCAGCTGACTTAAAGGTGTTCAGCCTCTCAAGGTGATCCTTTACTAGATCAACACTGATGCAGGGTATAAATACGCCCTCACCCTAGCCGTCTCACGTCTTGCTAGGCAGGGTGGTCCCATTAGGCTGATGAAAGATCGACACAAAGTGCCCATTTAGCAGGTTGGCTTTTTGCTGGGTGTCAGTTATCAGCTGTCCCGTTTAGTTCAGTAGGGGTCCAATGTTACCCTTGCCTTTTTTTCTGACTCCCTACATATCTGAAAAAGGACTTTTTGTTATCCTTGATACGTGAAGCCAGATGGAGCTTGGTTGCAGCCTTGGCTTTCCTGATCCACTCCTTGCAGGTACGGACCAGTGCTGAATACTCCTCCTTGGTGGTGATTCCAGCCTTCCATCCTTTATAAGTCTCTCTTTTTAGGTGTAGGAGGTCCTCAAGTTCCCTGCTGAGCCAAAGGGGTTGCTGTGCCCTTTTGCTACCCTTCCTCCAAGATGGGATGGTCATCCCTTGTGCTGTCAGGATCGCTCCCTTGAGAAGCAACCACTACTCTTGGACTCCTCTTCCTGTCAAATCGTGGTCCCTTAGGGCTTCGACAACGAGCCTCCTGAGCTTGTCAAAGTTAGCTTTCCTGAAGTCGAAGACTTCTGTATTGCTGACTGACTTGTCAGCTTTGCGATCAGCTCATGGTCACTATCACCCAGATCTCCATTGATTCTTAAGTCACTGACTAGGTCATCCCCTTTGGCCAGTACCAGGTCAATGCTGTGCTTTACCTCTCATAGACTTTACCTATCATAGACTTCTTGAGTCAAGTAGGGCTCGTCCACACATGTGAGGAAGCTTTGTGACTGATTGGATTTGGCCGAGTGCTCTTCCCATGAGATGTCTGGGTAGTTGAAGTCTCCCAGGACAACCATGCACCGAGAGCGTGCAGCCTCAGCCCTGGCAAATTTCCCTGGTGAATTTCTGGTCCAGCTCCGGTCCTGTCCCATTGTGGGCCCTTGCCTTCCCCACAGATCGTTCCGGGGGTATGGTAGGGGTGGGTTCCCTTAAGTGCCTTAGCCTGCTGAATTTACAAAGATTGCCCAGTGGGCTTGCAGTGGTGGTAATCCCCCCAAGCCCCAGCAGGCTTAGTTTAAAGCCTGGTCAAGCAGGTCAGCCAGTCTGGTTGAGAAGAGCCTCCTCCCCAGCAAAGTGAGGTGGAGGTTGTCTCTTCCCAGCAGATCACCGCCTCTCTCACCAAAGAGCGGACTGTGATCATGGAAGCTGAAGCCTTCATGATGACACCAGCGCCACAGTCTTTGGTTGACTACCTCGACCCGTCCTCAGCCCATGACCCACAACCAGGAGGAGTGAGGAAAAGACCACCTGTACCCCCAAGACCTGCTCCCAGAGCCCTGTAGTCTCTCATGACTCGGCTGGGATTGCTTTGAGCTGTGTCATTCATGCCCACATGGATAAGGAGTGTAGGGTAGTGGTCGGAGGGCCGGATAATCTTTGGGATCCTCTCTGCTATGTCCCGGATGCAAGCCCCCAGGAAGTAGCAGACCTCCTGGGCTAGGGGGTCAGGGTGGCAGATTGCCCACTCAGTCCCACTCAGGAGGGAGTCTTCCACGACGACCACTTTGTGTTTCGTCTTAGGGAGAGTAGGGGTGGGTGATCCTCCCTTGCCTGCAGGAGCTGGCATCTCTACAGGCTCTACTGGGGCTGCAAGAGGTTTGTACCTTTTGCAAAGCCCCAGAGGGGAGGGAACCTTGGTGTGGCGGGCCTTGGGGCCCTTGACCACCTTGGTCCAGCCCCCTGGCTGGGCAGTATGGAAGATCCCCAAGTCCTCCCTTGCCCTGGAAGGTGACCTTGGTCTACCCTCTGCCTCCAGGGGGTGAAGGGCCTGGCAGTAGGAGTCAGTCTCCCGCTCGCCATCCCTGATGGCACGCAGTCTCTGGACTGGAGCCTGGAGCTCCTCTGTCTGGTGCCCCAGAGACCCCAAAGTGGAGCAAACCTTGCAAGAGGAGGTGGCCATGCTCCCGGTCCCAGAAGCCTGGAAACGTGCCAGGCAACACCCCGCAGCCAAGAGCCAGGGACTCCATCTGTGTGGAGACTGGAACCATGGGCTCCATCTGGGTGGAAGCCTCTGAGGTGCCAGAGGGGGAGGCTGCAGACCCCAAGGGGACCCTTTGGGTGCAGTGTGTGCCCATCCGCATCGTGCCGCTGGTAGGCCATCTACTGATGGGACTAGCTTCCCTAGGGTGCACTGGCAGGGCCTTGGGCCCTCCTGCTCACCCTTCTGTGTGAACTCCCGTGCTAACTTGCATGCTGGGCAGACAAGCGCACCTGTTTGTGTGGCCTGTTCACGAGGTTTCGGTCACGTGGCTCCCTGGGAGCTGGGCCAAGTAGGAGCCGGGAGAGCAGGGGCAGGCGTCTCCCTCCTCGGCTCCAACGCAGCTGCCCTGCAGCTGTCTGGGTTGGGGTCCCTCCCTCCCTGCCGTGGGCCCCACCTACCTCTGCCTGCACTGTGGGTCTGGGTCGGGGTCCCACTGTGGGGTCCTGGGGGTTCCTGGGCTCAACAGGAGCACAGTGGGCTTCTGCCCATGCATCTCTCACTGAAGCTGGGGACAAATTGTGGTTTTGCTGTCGGTGGGCCCTCACCATACATAGTGTGGGCGAGCTGCACTCCCTTCTCTTCAGTCTTTGTCATCCCCGTTCTGACAATTTTCTCCCTTTTTTTGAGCAGCATTTTAGATTAGCGAATGTTACGTCTTATTGTGACTGATTATATCATCCGCTCCAGCTCACTATCCATACCAAATCCTC